AGTACCGGGAACCAAGCTCACGACCTTGCGCTTGCCAGGCAGGCGCTTTTGCCGCTGAGCTAAATCCCCAGCCCTGGGCTAATACTTTTCATATCTTTAAAAACAAAATTGGATGCATCCTGAATATGCTATTTTATAGCCACCTTCGTTCACTCAATATCATGGGTGTTGCCAGGTGTGCTGGAGGATCACAGGGAGTTCAAGGTCAGCCTGGCACATAGTGAGACAGTGTCTCAAAAAATAAAAATAACAGAACAACAACTAAAACCAAAAGACCAAAAACATGAGTGTTACTAAAGATTTCTCAAGAATATTATTTTAGTAGTGATTATTCCATAGTAGAGCCATGATGTAGTATACCCTGTTGTTGAATGTTTTAATTGTTTTCTAATTTAAAACAGTAAGGTGGGGGTGTCCTTCCAGGCTTAGTGATCCATCACCTTCCTTGTTTATTCAGCTTCCCTACAGGGTGCCAGGAGGCCAAGGCAGACAGGGGAGCTTCCTAAAGCCCAAGTATTTAGATTTAGGAAACGCGGCGGCTGAGCTCCCAGAAGATCACCCTTAGAAGATGCAGAAATGTAAATGAGGAAAGCAGGGTCCACAGCTCTCCTAGCCTCTTGCCCTGGGGCCCAGATTTAGCTGTTCTGACACCCTAGGAAGCCCAACTTAAGACAGCAAACATGCTTTGAATGTGGTCCAAGTTCAAAGGACTTCCTTAGTCTCCAAATTGCTTTGGTTGCATTGAAACAATACCTTCTACATCAGAGAGTCTGTATAGCTTTCCTATAGGTCAGTGCCTAGATCTGCTTTTGCCAAGCACTGAACCGACGGGGTTAGATGCTCCCACTTTTCCCTTCAGCCTGGTTGATAACTGGGACACACAAGCAGATTTTCCTCTTCCCTTTCCCCTCCCCTCTGAAGGCAGTAAGTAATAGAACGGGCCAGCAGGTATATCAGAAACATTTATTGCAAAGTGAAGTGAGTTCCCAATTTGCAAAAATAACAGCTGTTTTTTAGCTTTCTGGGGAAAATCCCTCTTGCGGGAGCTTGTGTGCTAAGCCGTAGTCACCCGTCCACTTACTGTGACCGTTCCCTCTCCCTGGCTGTAGAGATGGTTTATGAGTAGGAAATGTCCTCAGGTTACGTTGAGTCCTGGTTTCCCCGAGCTTTACTGGGGAGGACTTTCAAAAGTGCATTCTCAGGTGAAATAGCCAACACTCTAAAGCCCTCGCAGCAGTGGGTAGGTGGCCTCTGTCTCCTGTATCTGCGTGAGTTTGCACTTGGTCTTTCTGGAACCAGGATGGAGGAGGTTGCTCCTGTAGAGTCAGAATAAAAGTTTACTTCTCTTCTTTCGGCTTCCCAGCAGCAGAGCCGGCTGTGGCCTAACACTTAAAGGACCCAGCACCTTGAGGGTTCCTCTGGGTCTGGACCCTGTAGCAAGGCGCATAACTACGGGCACAAAGACCAGGAAGCGATTTACAGGAAACATGGGTTTGCCCACATCAGGAGGCCTTGGTTACCCTGTCAGCTCTGCCACGAACATGCTGTATAACCTTGGGTGTCCATTCCCCCATCTGTAGCAGATATCATGAGAGCTGCAGACTGTGATCTTCCAATTTTTCAGTCTGCTCTCCCGGAGAGCTGCGTCCCTCTCCACTGCCATCCACCCGAGCAAGTGAGTTTTCTGGGGTGTTGTCAGGCGCTGCTGTTGTCTCAGGCCTGGGCACCGCCTGTGCCTGGGGAACGCGCGCAGTAGTACTTGTTCACCACATGCCTGCACTGGTCACATCTGACTGTGCAGCACCAGTGGAATTTACAGTTACAACTGCGCGTGGCCTGGGTTCTCCTCTCCTCTACCTGCAGCCCACACTCGGTGCACAGGCGCCCACAGCCGCGCTGCTCCCGCCGGGATGCGTTGCGGCTGTCCTGCAGGCACTCGCGACCCTCTGTGCCATGGATGCCCAGGCTGGAGTTGCGGGTGCAGTAGTCTGGGGATTCCTCTAGAAATACCAGCTCTGTCTCTGCACTAGGCAGGAAGGCCTCAGTCGGAGCCCAGCGGCCCTCCGCACTGTTGCCAGCCCTCAGGTGCCGCTTGTCCATGTCAATTTTCAGTGCCCGGTCATACTTGGCCTTTAGGTAGCCGCCCATCTCCCGGAAGTCAGCCAGCTGCAGCCAGCAGGTCTGGACGCTGCAGCTCCCTGAGATGCCATGGCATTTGCAGGTCCTTCTCATGGTGGCTCTCACTGCCTTTACAGAAACACAAGAGAGAACTCTGTGAGCAAGAGAGGCCAATGGCTACTCATCAAATGGAGTGTTTTAGGGCTCTGCCTCTTGGCTTGAGAGAAGCAGGATTTCTCGTGAAATGTACAAAAATGTATTTCTGGGTCCTATATCCGATCTTCTCTGTACGGTTTTGTTGTTGTTATTGTTGTTTTGGTTTTTTCCGGTACCGGGAATCAAACTCACAACCTCGTGCTTGCCAGGCAGGCGCTGTGCCACTGAGCTAAATCCCCAGCCCCCAATCTTCTCAATGAAAATGTCTAGGGGTCTAAGGATGGTGATTCTGATGGCAAGCCAGGCAAGTTCTGAGGTTGCTGGAATCGGGAAACCTAGGTCCAGGCCTAATACCATCATCTGATGATATATTTATTTTCCCAGTTGGAATAAGAATTGGATAAAATAAGGGCTGGGATGTAGCTCAGTGGTAAAGCACTTGCCTAGGGTGCATGAGGATATAAGCCTCAACCCTGCAAAAAATTGAATAAAATAATAATCAAGAAAGCATGAATTGTAAAGGAAAATATGATCACATATACTGTTATTGTCTTAAAATTAGGAGCTAGAGTATTTGTGCTAGTTTGGATTTATGGGGGTCTCAGAGAGAAGGATGCTCCTGGAGTTTGAACCCTTACACCCATAAGAGGATTACCCATGGGTGTACTTTCCTTAAAAACCTCTTCCCTTGTTCTGGGAAATCAGACCTCTAAGGACATGTTCACAGGAAAATTTCCGTGATTTTTGCCTCCTAATCCAATTTGCTTGCAGATTTGAGTTCAGAATACTCCAGAGATTTGTATCCTGCCAGAAGTCTTAAGGAAGAGCAGACTCCCCAGAGAAGACTTGACCAGTCCCAGACAGACTGTAGGACATAAGTTGGACAGTAAGCCCCTATTCATGTTCTAGCACTTGCAGTTAATGTGATTAAAATTGTAAGTCATGGAAGCAAGGGTTTTTTTTTTTTGCAATACTGAGGATTGAACCCAGGGTGCTTCTGACTGCACTACATCCCCAGCCCTTTTCACTTAATTTTGAGATAGGCTCTCGCTAAGTTGCCCAGCGTGAACTCAAACTTTTGATTCTTCTGTCTCAGCCTGCAAACATGCTGAAGTTACAGGCCTGAGCCACCGTGCCTGGTAGCAAAGCCTTATTTCTTATTTTATTGAGACAGAGTCTTGCTATATAGTTTAAGCTGGCCTTAAACTCACTATGAACCCTAGGCTGGGGTTGAACTCACATCTATCCTCCTGCCTCAGCTTCCTGAGTGTGGGGATTACAGGCGTGTGCTATCATGCTTGACATGAATTCTATATTATTCTGTGTTCTCAGAAAACTGCCTGTGAGAGGGGCCAGAGCCTAAAGTTTTGTGTAAGACTAGAAGACCTGAGTCCATTGCCCAGCTCTCATGCTTGTTAATTGTATTGCCTTGGACAAGCCACCCGTTCAAACTTAACTGGCTTTGCCATCCAGAGGATGAGGACGGCTGTCTCAGCCTTGCCAGATGGTTGTGAGGATGAAAATGGGTCTGAAGAGCTTTTGGTGAGCTGCGAAGGGCTGTGCGGCTGTGCAGCTGTTGCCAGTACCCACCAGCCTGCCGGCCCTGTTGTTGTGAAGATTCATCAGGGCTCTGGCGTCCTTCCCCTTCTCCAGACTGTCCACAAAGAGTTTGGAGATCCTTTCCCCAAACTCCACATTGTCGCTGCAGCCTCCCCAGATCCAGCCGTGGCCTCCTACACATAAGGAGAGAAAAAGTTCCGCATGGTTCCCTGTGAAGTCCCGGGACAAGAGTCACCGTCTTTTTGGCCGACACAGGCAAACCATCTCCAGGAGCCCTAAGGGGGTGTGAACGCCAGACCAAAGGTGAACCGGGGAACGCAGGTGGGGGGGTCCTGTGCCCAAAGCCAACTTCAGGCACTTCCCAGCTCTAGGCAATAAGGCCTCTATCCCAGAGAAACGCAGGCACGCTGCGGCTGGCCGAAATGATCTCAAAGCTTCCTTCAGCTCAGGCCTCTGGAACGGTGCACTATCATTACTCTACAAGGGTCTTGTAGGAGCGACCTCGTCCCTCATTAGTGACAAATCTGAGAACATCTCTTAGGTATCTGCAGATAGCCGAGGAGCCCTGGGTTATGGACAAGCCTTTCCAGGACAAGGGCTGGCTATAAGCTCTCTTTGGCCCTCTCACTCCTGGTCCTGGTTGGCTTCAGAGAAAAGTACTTGCTAATCCCTGGCCTCATGGACCCAGGCTTAACTCTCAGGAGCGTCTAGGTCCAGGAGCTCCCACAGCTGAAGGGGCCGCAGAGCCTGGGCTTTGGGACAGCGGTGTCCCTCTGCCTTTCCCGGAAGGTTTCATCTACCTTCAGCTCTGCAGCCCCTCACCTCCTCCTACCCTCCCCAGAGAGCCCTGCTTACCTGTTTTCCCCTTTTTTGACTCATCACAGCCACAGTTATCAAAGTCGCCCATGCTACAGTTCTTGGTGATGGTATACATGACTCCGGCAGAGCTGATGGCGTGAATGAAGGAGGTCTCTCTGGTGGCTTTGGAGAGAAAGAGGAGACTCACTAGAAACGGTCCTGATGGCCCAATGTGGAGACTCTGGGAAAGCAATGCTACTTTGCTCCCTTCCACCCGCCATCCTTTGCACTTTTTTTTTTTTTTTTTCTGGTACCGGGAATCGAACTCACGATCTTGCACTTGCCAGGCAGGCGCTGTGCTGCTGAGCTAAATCCCCAGCCCCTATCCTTTGGACTTAAGAAGACGCTCTTCTCACTTCACCCAGGCAGGAATGAGCATCTGCATGGGGCCAGGACCTGTTCCGAAGTCTGTGCAGCAGCCACTGCGGCTGGTCCATGGGCAGTGGGACTTGGGGCCACAGGTGGCTTGGAAAGGAGAGAGGAGCTTGCCTTCCTTCCTACCATGCAGCAGGGGCCTTGAGTGATCATGCTGATTGTGGCAGTTACCACTGAGCTCTTTTCTTTTTTTTCTTTTTGTCTTTTGAGACAGGGTCTTGCTATGCACTTCGGGCTGGGCTTCAGCTCACTTTGTAGCCCAGGTTGGTCTTGAATTGGCAACAATCCTCTTGCCTCAGCCTCCCCAGTGCTGGGATTACAGGAGTGCGCCACCATGCCCGGCTTACCACTGAGCTCTTCACAGACACCCTCACATATCGTTTCCACATACCCCATCCTCCCTGTGTGTCCTGTGGGACGGTGACTCTTTCTGTGCTCATCTTCTTTACTCCCTCTCCCCAGCTCCTCTCAGGCGGTTCCGCCTTCCTACTTTCAGCTACTCAGGAGACTGAGGCAGGAAGACGTACAAGTTGAAGCCCAGCATGGGGAATTTAGTGACTTAGCAAGAATTGGTTAAATAAATAAATAAATAAATAAAACAGAAAAAGAGGCTGGTGATGTAGCTCAGCTGGAAGGTTTCTAGGTTCAGTCCCTGTCACCACAAAACAAATGACCTTTATGAAATCCGCAGCACTGTCACTGGCAGGGCAGGCAAGTGCACACACACACACCCAGCCCGTGTGAGGCAAAACTCGGTGACTTCTCAGTTCGCTACGCACTGCTAGCACTTTATGATCATTGGGTAGCTGTGAAACTCCTTCAGGGGCCACGAACACCAAACCCTCCCCCAATCCCCTCTTCTGTGGTACTAAGGATTCAACCCAGGGCCTTTGTGCTGAACCACATCACCAGCCCCTTTAAAAAACATTTATTTATTATGTGTATTTTTTATTTCGAGAAAAGGTCTCGCTGAGTTGTCCGAGCTGGGCTCTAACTTGCAACCCTCCCTCCTCAGCCTCCCAGAGTTCAGGGACTGCAGGTGTGTACCACTGTGCCTAGCTCCTTTCCCCCTTTCCTTCCTTCCTTCTATCTCTGTTTTTAAGACAGGGTCTTGCTATATAGCCCAGGCTGGCCTCAGGCTCCTGCCTCAGCCTCCCCAGTGCTGGGATTATGGGCGTGTACCACCGCACCTGGCTCCTGTCCCCTCTCCCCATTTTTATTTCATGCAGATCAGCATAAACATGTACAAACACAAATACAGGCATGCATTTTAAAAAATAGAATAATTTCTTACATTTGTTATGAGACCGCACTGTCCCCTCCGTTCAACTTTTAAGATATTCCTAGTGAGCTGCACAGAACTAGTTTTAGCCAAATGACAAAAGTAGCATGGAGAGGAGGGAAGTAGCTTAATCAAGGTCACACAGCAAGGAAACAGCAGGTCAGCACACCGCCTTGGGGTGTCACTGCATGTGCCCCTGTTGCCTGCTGGCACAGGGCGCTGCCGGCCACCCCGTGCGCCCCGTGCCCCCCGGCCAGGCCCATGCCCTGGCTTACCGCTCCGCAGCCTGCTGTGGGTGGAGAGCTGGAGGGCGTTCTCAGGGCAGTTCCAGCGCTCCCAGGCAAACTGGAACTTACACTCCTCGATGCCGCTCTGGGCTCCCAGGGCCACGCTGGTCGTGTAGGTGAGGTAGGCCTGGCACGGGGCGAGCGGACGGGCCGTGAGCCTCGCCGGGCGCAGGGTGCCCGAGGCCAGAGACCAGGCCGGCTCACACAGACGGCGCCCCGTGCAGAAGCACCTGGGGGCGCTGGGCCAGGGAGACCGCCTGCCCCTCCCTTGTCTCCCTCCCCGGAATTCCCTTAGGAGCCCCCAAAGGGAGAAAGAGGAGCTGAAGACCCTCCTACCTTGGGACCTGTCAGCAGAAAATTACTCACTGACCTAGCACATAGGGAAAAAGTGAGCGGACGTGAATAGGGGTGACACCACGGGGCGCCTCCGTGGGGCGTGGGGAACTGGAAAGGACTCACCAGGCAGAGGCGCTGAAGGTGGCACAGCCTACAAGCACGGCCAGCCTCAGCACAAGCAGGTCCCCCATGGCCCTGCCCACCCAAAGGGGACCAGCCCCAGCGAGGGCCAAGGGCAGAGAAATGAGGAGAGGGCAGGGTCTTCCTCGTATTTATGTGCGAAAATTCTGAATGGCCTAAGGTGAAGAGGCAACACCCCTCCTCTCTCGTCCCCACCCGCGGGGCTGCAGGAGACACGGACCCAATGGGGGAGCGGGGAGGAGGGACTCGGCCCAAAGCCTTCGAGGAAGCCCCGCCCCCAGCAGGGCCAGCCTTCTTCCCTCCCAGACTGAGAGGGCCTGAAAATTTTCTCCTACCCTGAGGTTCATTTCCTCTATAAGTCAGTTGTCCCTTCCTGCCCAAGGGCCCATTTCTCAGGATCATGCAGCCTGGAACAGCCTAAGCCCCTACCCTAAAGGCAGGTCACCTACCCTTGGAACTACATCTGTCTGTCAGAGAGAATTCACCCATTGCCCTGCCTTCCTCCCCAAGGTGTTAATAATCGTAGGGCAGTGGTGGCGAACCTTCCAGAGCTTCTGATGATTCAAACAGCCCGCTGCGCGCGTGTGCCAAAGGTTCGCCACCACTGCCATAGAGGAACTCTATTTGGGAATCCCTCCTACTGACTGACGCACACAAGTGAGCGCAGTCTCTCCCTCTTCCTGGATGACTGTATGGTGACAGAGTTGTGGGTCGTGGAGCGGAAACATTACAGGGCTCATCTCTGCAGCAGCCCCTTCTAGTACTTCCTCCAAGAGTAAATTACAGTAGTTTTCCTTTGTTCCTGGTAGGCCTGCCCGTTCCTACCCGAACTTAGCTCTCCAGTGTCACTTCAATATACCTGAGAATCAACCTGTGGGCCACCCAGGCTGTATGTGACAAGACTGATGCCTTTCTTTGTAATCTTGGTACCATTTGGGGGGGACAGGAGTGCTGGGGTTTGAACCCAGAACTCAGGCATGATAAGCACCCATCTGATACCACTTTATTGCTAGGGTTTGGGCTATTTAGACAGGAACCTGACTTTTAGATTCACTTTGTGTTCTTAGTACTGTACTTAAGAAGGTAGCTGGATGAAGGAAGGAAGAAGAAATGAAAGGACCTGTGGCCTTTAATAGGGACTCCAGGCAAATGGGGCAGAATCGGGCGCTCCAGGAAGGGGGACAGGTCTTTCTGAGCAGGGAAGGCCCTTTCCTCCGGCTGGGGCAGGAAGGAGAGTACAGACAGGACGGCACAGTTCTGCCTCATTGTCTTGTGACCCTCACGATATCCAGATCACTTCTCGGCACCCAGGGTCTGGTGTGCACCGGGACAGAGCTCAGCACAGCACCTGCCCCCAGCCACCGCCACCACCACCAAAGGGGCTTCCGGACCAGGGGGTCCCAGGCCTCGTTAGGGTAGAGCACTACAAGTGTGGCTCTGGAATGGTGTCCGGCTGCGAGCCAATGCCTGCCACAAAGAGAACCAAAACAAGTGTTTGGAAGTCGGTACAGCAGTTCTATGGAAGACTTTAAGTATATTAGACCTAATAATAAGAAATCTGGGCACCTATTCTGTTGGCTTGCTTTTCCTGTTTCATTTCTCCTAGTAGGGTGAGTATGGAGGTCGTCACTTGACCGAGTCCTGCTGCTCAGCCCCAGCGAGCTTCCTTCCCCCGTGCCTCTGCTTGGGGAGAAGAGGCGTCCTGCACCTGAGCTGCCTGGGAAGAGCCGATGCAGCATGTCGCGGTGACCATTTCTCTGTCTCTCACTTTTCCCTGTCAAGAATCTAATGTTCACCTCTTACTTGTCAGGACAGCAAGGCTGATTTTCCTTCCACTCACTGGGATTGGACAGGGTCAGCAAGCCCTGGGGGTCAGGCAGAACCCCCTGAAAGAGTTTCAGGTAGGACTCCACATTCATTCTCACTCCACATTCACTTTCCTTCTCTTTGTAAAATTTTCTGTTTGGAGGCAGGGTCTTGCTGTGTAGCTCAGGTTAGCTTCAAACTTGCTATGTCGCCCAGCCTAGTCTGTAACTTGTGATCTTCCTGACTCAGCCTTCCAGATAGCTGGGATTATAGGCTTGTGCCACCACACCCGGCTCTGCATATTCACTCTCTGTGTATAAGGGATTGGGACTTCTTTTTGTGTCCCTCATAGCACCTAGGACTTAGTTGGTACTATTTGTTTGTTTATTTGTGTGTTTGAGACACAGTCTCATGCAATTGAGGCTGGTCTTGAACACATCATATAGTCCAGGCTGGCCTCCAACTCTCAGGGATCTTCCTGCTCCAGCCTCCTGAGTGCTGGGGTTAGAGGTGTGTGCTGCCATGCTCGGTTTACTTGGTACTCTCTAAAAAGCTCTTCTACTATATTTTCCAGGAAGCAGGGAGGAATAAAGTGAGTTTGTGTGTGTCTGAAAACTTTGTGCTTGCTTCTGCTCAGGTTCTCTAAAGACCGTACGGTTTCTTAAATGGAATTGAGGAAATTAAGGGAAGAGTTCTACTCTGGGTATCGGAACCCTGGGCTTTCTTTAGTCACTACTTGTTTATATGGCCTTGGTAAGCTACTGACCTCCGCCGGGTTCAGTTCCTTCATCTGCAAAGTGAAGGAGTAGAGAAAATGTTTAATATTGAATAACCCTAAGGACGTCTCCTGCTCTCTTAACATGCTGTAACCCTAACTTTAAGATTCACAAAAGCCAGGCATGGTGGCACACACCTGCAGTCCAGCAGTCTAGAAGGCTGAGGCAGGAAGATAAAAGTTCGAACCTAGCCAGAGCAATGCAGCAACTTATTGAGAACATGTTTTAAAATTAAAAAAAAAAAAAAAAAACAAGGGCTGCGGATATAGCTTAGTGCAGAGGCCCTGGGTTCAAGGATGGCAAACAGATAGGAAATATTTTAATTACAGAATTTATTAATTTCAGAGGTGATTGTAGGCTGGAAGTGGAGAAATTTTATCTTCCCTGGCTTTACACATAGGAATCATCTGATTCAGCTTTGAACCCTGCAGTTGGCTTCAGATAGACTTTTTTGCCAGTTTTTTGGAGACAAGGTCTCGCTCTTCAGTTCAGGCTGGTCTTGAGCTCACAGTGACCCTCCTGCGTGCTGTGATTCCACGCGAGTGCCACCACACCCGGCCCAGTGCGTTTTTGAAGTCCTTAGGGTCTGTCTACATAAGACCTTTGCCAAAAGGGCCAATGTCCCTCCCTGTAGACAGAGCATCCCCCGGAGGAGAAGAAGAGCCAGAGACAGGTCTCCCACACTGGGTCCACAGGTCTTTTCCCGCCAACCTGCGCATCATTTTCCTTAGGACCAGCTTTCCATCTTGTTCCAGCTCGTTTGTGTTTTTCTCTCCCGCCCCTGCCCTCCCCATGCCCCCCTACCCCGTGGTGTTTTGTTTTGTTTCCCAAGCTGGGGATCAGACCCAGGGCTCTCTTTTACCATTAAGCTCTATCCTCAGCCTGACCATCTCGTTAGCTTTTAAGTGATGATGAGTTTCTTGGTTTCTGTTTTCCATGAGTGGAAATCTGGAGCTGAAAACAGAGATGACAGTGGGGATAGAGCAGGACAAGCACAAAGTGGACAAAGATAGTAGTGCCTCTGAAATGGGGGCGCACTGGGGAATGGTTAACAACTGGCTTTGGCGAGGCATAGGGCAGACTGGTTGTGTTGCTGATTTTCAATCTAAACACTTCCAACATGGACCGGAAAGAGAAGCACAGCAGCATATGATTATGCAGTATTTCTCTCATCTAGATACAGGGAATGTCAAGAGCCTCAAAAGTATAAATAATAGAAAAATGTTGACAAGTATATGGTACATACTTGTAATCCCAGCTCTAGGAGGCTGAGGCAGGAGGATCGCAAGTTTGAGGCCAGCCTATGCTACATAGAGAATTCAAGGTCAGGTTAGCCTGGATTACAGAGCAAGACCTCGGCTCAAAAAGCAAAACAAAACAAAACAAAGAAGGAAAGAAGAAAAGAAGGATGGATGGGAGGAAGGAAGGAAGGAAGGAAGGAAAAATGTAACAAAATAATTAGGAAACAGTGAATTCTGAGTATTTATTGTCATTGTTTTTCTGAGTCGGTATCTTGCTGTGTAGTCCTGGCCAGCTTTGAACTCACTATGGAGCGCAGGCTGGCCTCAAACTCACAGCTACCTTTCTGCCTGTGCCTCCTGAATCCTGGGATTACAGGCCTGCACCTCCACACCCAGTTTGGATGTTTCGTTTTGTCGAGAGAGGGTCTTGTATGTAGTCTAGGTTGGCCTTGAACTCATGATCCTCCTACCTCAGATTCCCTAGTGCTTATAATTTAATTTTAATTAATTAATTTTGAAGAACGGGGTGGGAGTTGAACCCTGGATCTTTGCACTGAGCTACATCCCTATCTCTTTCTTACTTTTTAATTTTGAGACTGGGTCTTGCTAAGTCATTAAATTGCCCAAGCTGGGCTCGATTTGGGATCCTCCTGCCTCACCCTCCCAGAGTGCTGCAACTATAGGCCTGTGCTACCACATTTGGATTAATTTCATTTTTAAAGGCTGTGTTTCGATTTGTTTTGCTGTCTGCTTCATTTCGTGTTTTTTGAGACAGTGTCTTGCTCTGTAGTTGAGGCTGGCCTGGATAAAGGCTGTATTTAACAGTTTGCAAAATTCCTGAATGAGGCCGTGCAAGCAGCCTCCAGCACAACATTGGAGCCTAGGGTTTTCCCTCCAGGCCACCATGAGGTAAAGTGCAAAAGCTTTCCTTGTGGAATTTAGCGCCAAATAATTCCTGGTGTGTGCAAGGCTGTGACCACACCGGCCCTCAAGGAGCTTCGTGTCTAGTAAATGGGAGACAGGTGTGTGTGTGTCTGTTGTGTAGGGCAGAGAGCTGGGACTGTAATCAATAAGGACTAGGCCGGAGTGACCCTGGTGGCAGCGCCCGGCTTCAGCAAACCCAGAGGGCATTTGCGGGACCGTAGTGCAAGAGAGTCTATTTACAAGGGGGCACTGGAGACCCCGGCTGAGGGCACTTGTCAGGGGCACACAGTGACTTGGGGCCAGGACAGCCTGGGTCG